ATACAAATATCGAAATAATAAAATAATACTAAGATAAAATAATAAACTAATAAAATAAAACTGTTCTATAACAATATCACTATTAACATGAATATAAAAGTGATTCAAATAGGTTAATATTTAATGAAAGATGACTGTATTATATATTTTTTTAAATTGTGTCACCTCAATAAATAAGTTCAATTTGCAAAAAAAAAGGTATAATTTTATAAAACTTATCTAAAACTACAATATTTTCCAATTTAGTAAATTTTGTACTGTGTAATATGTAATGTGTACTTTAAGGTTGAAAATGGTGCTTATTTTAGATATGTATCTAAAACTCAATATATATACGTATTGATAGAATGATATTAATGTAAGTCATGTCACTTATTACAGTATATTAGATGTCATAAAATGTGCACCATTAGTCCGCACATATTACAAATTATCAAGTTAAAACTTAAATTTGTAAACTTAAGGAAGAGTCGGGTATTATGATGCACTTAAGAGTTGCACATATAAAAATTTTTATAAAAAGCGTATTGATTTACAAAATTTATTGAAATAGATTATTTATTGTAGTAACTATCTGCCAATAAAAAAAAAACAACTTTTTAAAAAAAAATTTGAAATATGAACTTTCAAAATCTATTCAAAAAATGCTATGTTTTTTACATTTGGGGGTATTATGACGCACATTGAATTAATGTCAGAAATCATTTGTATTACAGAATTACAGGATATGTACCAGATAAGATTTTTATGGGTCGGTGCCAAAAATTTATGTTTTTTGGTTTTTACTCGAATACTAGAGCTTCAAATAAAACGAATTTAATATCATTCGATTCGTCTCATTAAGAGGAATCGAATGATACCAAAAATTACTCGATTCTAATCAATGTATCGCGAGATATCGTAAAAAAACACGAGTGCGTCACAATACCCACCTGCGTCATAATACCCTATCCTCCCTTATTTGTATATGCACTATACAGTATCATATTAGTACCGTATAAATGACAAAGTTTAGCAACGTTTGATTGGTTTAAAAAAGGGATAAAGATCTGTAAATAAGGCTCTCTGACGAATATGCAATCAGCAGTATCTTTGTTAATTATACACAATAAATTTAAGTGATAAAGTAATAACAATCTTTGTACATAATACAGTATTGAGGAAGGATGGGTGATAAAGATTTCAGAGATAAAGCTGGTGCCAAATAAATTTTCTCAATTATAGGCGTAACTGAGATAAAGATACAAAGTTATGTTTTGTATAATTATCTTTTCAAAACTGGTATTTTGTTATGCATTACGAATTTGAATTGCATTCATGGGATTATGATCTATGAAAAACGTGTTTTTCCATACTCTAACTAGGACAAGATCATCTGGGCGGCTTCGCCGCCTTTTATGAAATATGCTAACGATAGATTTTTGTTGGTTTATTTTTGCTTTTATCTTGGAAAGAAATTTTTTTCTTAAGTCTTTCTGTCATTGTAATTTGGAGTTATTATGACGGAAGTGTCGACTGAACAGAGACCTTTTGATGGTGTGCCAGTTAAGATCTTGCAGTTAATATTATTCTTAATGGATTGAGCCTTGAATTTGCTCCCGGAACTCAAGAATGTTATCGAATTGGCTAAACAATGCATAAAATCTGATTCAAAGAAACGTTCTACTTGCCTATGATGTTTTAAAAAACTTGAAAATTGGTATACCGGTAATAATTTGGAAATAAAGAAGCAAATTTTGGAAGCCGTTAAGATTATCAAAGAAACATCGATTGTGAAGCAAAAACACCCAATCAATATGCGCGAGATAATGACCAAACTCCAGAACTCAGAGACCACTCAAGAGAGTAAACCAAGTCGTGAGATTGATTCAGTTGAAGTTACCAACGTGTGATTTTCTTGTTTAATATGATGTTAATAATATTTTTGAGAAATAATAAACATTAATGTAATAGATAAAGAATATTATGTTCTAAATGATATATTAAAGAATGACTGAAAATTTTATACCAATTTGTAACTGGTTCGGTAGTAAAGAAGATAGATTTGGAATCAAAAATCAATTACGAATAAAAATGAAAAAGATTTTAAATATCTGCACACAAAATAAAACTATGATTTGTAATCTTAAATACTACCAACTTATACTTGGCGTGCTATCAATAATCGTAATTATTAGGATCACATATTTTTAAAATAGCCAAAGAACTAAATCTCATCAATTAATTCATCCAGAATGTACATATATCGAGAGATGGACTAGATAATCGCGATTGTAACCTTAGAAAAACAATATTCAGAGAAAATGCACTAATTTGTAAATTAAAAACAATTTATCTGGATGGAATATTTATGTTCTTACGGTATAAAAAAAAACCTAAAAATAATTTTTTTACGTAAGGCCGCTTGAAGTTATAATTTCGTTTAACGTTCCTCTCGAAGTGGGGGCGAGGGCCAAATTAAACAAACATTATATGACACCTCCATTATTATTAGTTGGGCCAAGATCACGTGACTTATTGACGTAATGGGCGTTTGGATTGGCTTGTTTAATTTCAGGGGAGCTGTGGACGTCCCCGGTTTACTTATTTGCCATAGTAAATATTCGTTTGTTGTTATTTTGTGAAATTTTGACCAGCATTAGAGTTAGGGTTAATGTTGATATAAGAAGAGTCGTATAGTAAAATTTGGCCAGGAATTTTTTTTATTAGAACTAAAAGGAGTTACCGGCATGTTTTGAAAAAGCCTTCGATCTCACGTTACACAAAGGCTGCACCTGATCTTGCGATCTACATAGAAATTTTCCTTTTTTGCTCTCCACAAAAAAATTATTCACCCCTGTAATTTGACCAATCGAATTTCAGGATCAGGTGTAACGTAAAAATCGAAACGAAACAAAAAACAAGAATAATTAATTTTAATTAGGAAACCACCTTCTGCGGCCTAATTAAAAATGTTCCTTGTGATGTTTACTCATAAGCACTATATTGTTCTAATCCTAACCCTAATTATAACACAGGCTCTTGGTTTTCATTTTACACGTAACTTTTTTACTTAGAAAATAAAACACGTTTGTTTTGACTAAACATGCTGACGAAATTATTTTGGGGTCTAAAACCCGAAATTAAAAATTTGAAGACAAAATTGTTTTTGACCTACTTTACTTAAAGGACGAAGTTTTTTAATGCTTTTTTTAAAGAGACGAAATTATAAGGAATATAACTACCTAAATTAGATTTGTTCTTGCATATAAAAAATTCCAATTTGCTCTAATGGAGACGAAATAGGGTTTTTTTGAAACCTATTTCGGTGGCATGTATAGTTTTGACACATGATCTTAAATTTTGATTGGTCAAAATTACTGGGGATGAACAATTTTTGTGCGGTGTGAGGGTCGAGGAGAACTTTAAACTTGTGACCCGAAACCTTCAAATTAGAATAATGGACATTTACTATAAAGTAACCAAAACATTCTTGAAATGCAATCTAATTATCATATCTTTTAAGTTTCAAAGTTTAAATTAAAATTTTAAGCTTTTCAATATGGTGATAGAGTTTCGGAAAAGGTTTCGGTTTCGGGATTTTATATATAGTTTCAGGTCACAACTTTACGAGAGAACGTTAAACGAAATTGTAATTTCAAATGGCATAAATAGTAAAAGAACAAAGAATTGCATAAACAATACCCCAAGCGTGGCATGGCTCAAAATGCATTTTACCATCTGAGACATGACTATTTAGCTTCCTTAGTTAAGACCTCTTGGATCGGTTAATTTAAGCATTAATAGGATTTATTAGACATTATAGCTAAGTACGGAATTATTCTTCATATTTTAATAAAGCCTTTTGTATTAGTTGAGCATTTATTTAAATGACCATTACAGAAAGATAAGTTGATGGATAGACTATTAAAAAAAGTGTGTTAATGTATTGGATAGAAAATTGACGTTAGTTATCTTATTGCTTCAGTAAAACCATCATTGTTATTACTACGATTGATTATACAGTTACACTGCTTAAGAATTTTAAGCGCGATACCAGTCTTTTGATGGCAATCCTCTAATGATTGATAGGGTCGTTTCTTAATTATAATATCAGCATATTTGTTGCCAATACCTTCGATATCAGAAAGCCAACAACGACTTGCTGTATTAATATCTGGGGGTTCTACGTTTGCATAAATGAATGCTCTATCAGAAAATGGACCAAAATATTCCTTCCAGTTTTTTTGATGAACTATCCCCGAACGTGCAGGAAGTTGTGAAGAATTTATTCGAGTTTTTCCGGTCGTTATTAAAAGGAATATGTCATTTTTGCCAGCAGCTTTATGCCTTTCCTCAAGATATGTATTGAGCGATATATTGGTTTTACGATCAAGTTTCTTTACCTGCAAGACCTCAGTGATATTTCTTTCTTGCCCTGTGGATGTTTTTTCTGTAATGTAACAAAATATATCACCAGCGGGAGCACCTTCACCGTTTATAATCAAGTGTTGTCCATCAGTTGCATTTATTGTTCCATTTTCATGTATAATAAAAGCTATACTATTGGACTTCGTACTAATTCGGTCTGAGGAATAAACAAGTTTTAGTGGCCTAGACTTGAGGTAAATGTCATTATCTATGCGTGAGTCAAATGCACTACCGGGATGTATTGTGTGGATAGAAAGTTCAACTCTTTCTTTATATATCCCTGATTTTAATACTCGAAAATCTGCTGCAAATCGTTCAAAATTCTGCCAAAGCTGTGCACCTAGTGAGACTTTTTCAGGATTATGGAGGTGTTGGATTTCATCATAATCATCAAATCTCCAATTTAAAAGAATTGGATCATTAACTGCACGTGCCATTAACCATAGCCACACATAAGGGCAAGTCAATCTGCCAAACGCGCTATTTTTTTCAGCTTCAAAACAAATTAAACCCATCTCAGCAAATTGATCTGGGCGAAGATTAGTACCTGGTACAGGACAATTAATACTGAGTGGTGTGTTACTCAAAATTACTCGTAATAATTCTTTGTAAGAGTCTGCATTATCAAAAATATCTGAATAAAGATCCTCTAATTCCATAAGCAACTGATGAACGATGTCACTAATACAACGATCATCAAAATTTGATGGGATCACTTGCTCTAATGCTTCCAGTGCACGACCATTACCACCCATATCTCCAACAAGAATCTTCACGAGGGGTTTCTCCATATCAAATACCGGTTTATGGAAACGGCTAGGAGCCTTTAGTTGTGGAATAGGCAATTGAATACGTAATTGTCGAGATCTTGCTAAAATATCCCTCATGGGCTTCATGCTTGTTGCAGAGCAGCATCCAATCATGAATGGTTCAGAAGTAATTATAAGATTCGCTACTTGTGAAAGGCATGAATAAAATTTGCTATCTTTGTCCAACCCATTATCAGAATGTTCCATTAGCCTGTGAACACCATCAAGCAACAAAAATACTGTTAGATCACTAATCTTTTGATGTCTAGAATGAGCAATACGTTTTAATATGACATTTGGATTCAAATGATGCTTTTTGTATCCTTGAAATTCTGTAAAATCCATGTCAGATTTTGGTCGTAACTGCCATAACATTCGTATACCAATTGCAATTAATGGATTTTTGTCTATATCTGGAACGTAATTTGTTCCATTTTCGAAGCTTATGTTGAATATTAATGCATCGTCAAGGCGTTTTTTTAACTCATCGTTATCGACTACAGATCGAGCTATTTGTGGCAATTCCATGAGAAGCCTTGACTTTCCAATACCTGCACCACCCATGATAGTAAATAGAGGAGAGCTTTTCTTTTCTCTGTTGCCTTTCTTGTAAGCATAGAAAAATCGGGTTAGTGACCTCTTTAGAATTTCTCGTAAGTCGGGTGCCTCTTGAAAATCCCAATCGGCACCACTAGTAGACAATAATCGAAGTGGATCCTTATATTCTAGAATGTACGGAAATAAACCTATTTTGCAAAAAAGGGAAAAAATAAATTGTATTAACCCTTTAAATTGCTCTCTATTGATAAAGTACTTACCACGTTTAAAAAATTTGAGCAAATTAGATGTAGATTTCTCGTAAACATAGAAAAATCGGGTTAACGACCTCTTTAGAATTTCACGTAATTTGAGTGCCTTTTGAAAATCCCAATTGGCACCATTAGTGGACAACAACTGAAATGGATCCTTATACTCTAAAATGTTTAGAAATAAACATATTTTACAAAAAGAAAAAAAATGCATTGGCCGTTTAAATGCAGGAAACTAAAGTGTACTTACCTTCCGATTTTAATATTTAAATGATAAAGAATTAAGCCATTTTACAAATAATGATAAACCTCGATTTTCAGTACAAAGACTTTATACATGCTCTATTCTATGTCCCAGTGCCTAAGTCAAGAAATTGTTCTCTGTTGAGAAAGTACTTACCAAGTACTTTTCGTATAGAGAATTTAAAGAAATTATATTTGGTTTCCTTACATCTTTCCACACAAATAAGACCTTTGTCAAAGGTAATTTTCAACTCTTCCGGCCCTTGCAAACGACTTTGAAGGTTTGTGTTATTTCCTCTAGAAGGTACTGTTCGTTTTTGTTGATGGCTTAACAAACGAGTAGGGAATTGGATGATTACTTTAGAAATCGAATAAATTTCCGTACAGTGATGGCAAATCCGTAAAGTATGGATTCTCGATGTCATTTTAAAATATAACATTTTTCAAGTTTCTCCTGAAAAAAATTGTTATCGACTACTGATGGATAGATTAGGCGACTTGAAATTAAAACCTCGTTTAACGTTATTTTTTTAAAAAATTTG